CACACACACACACACCACACACACACACACCACACACACACACACACCACACACACACACACACACCACACACACACACACACACCACACACACACACACACACACACACACACACAGACACACACCACACACACACACACACACACACAGAGACAGAGACAGACAGACAGACACACACACACACACAGAGACAGACACACACACACAGAGAGAGACAGACACACACACACACACAGAGAGACAGACAGACAGACAGACACACAGACACACACACACACACACACACAGAGAGAGACAGACAGACACACAGACACAGACACACACACACACACACAGAGAGACAGACAGACAGACACACAGACACACACACACACACACACACAGAGAAAGAGAGACACAGACAGACACACAGACACACAGACACACATACACACACACACACACAGAGACAGAGACAGACACACAGACACACAGATGGACACACAGTGAGACAAACAGAGAAACAGACAGAGAAGACAGACAGACAGAGAAGAAGAAAGAGGGGAGTAAGGGGGCAGAGAGATTGACTAACCAGCAGCTAAAACCAGTAGAGGCCCTTTCAAGCCCAAGGCAGGATGAGTACAAGGACTGGGATAAAACCTAAAGTAGCTGAGTGAATAACAGCACAACAGAAGTCTCTTCCCTGATGAAATGCTCAACATTTCTGCAAACAAGAGCCACATGGGGTACTGAGCACTTGAAATTTGGTGACTGTGATCAGGAAAAAGCAGCCATTCTTTCCAGCATATCCTCCCAATATGTACGTTTTAAAGAACAATTATAGAAAAAAATAAGGTTTGGATGAACTTTCTCCTGCTTGTAAAAGCTCTAAATATTCTCTTGCATAATTTCTAGTGTTTGAAGATGATCTGGCCCTTCTGGACCCCCTTGGTACCATGTCCTCTACAGGGATTTGACCGATGGAAGACCAAGGTCAACAGCCATGACAGAGTGAAACGAGAAAGAGGAGCAGCATGAGAAAAACTGGCTGCGAGACACAGACAGTATTTTTTATCTTGAGACAGCCAGCCCTAAGTGTTCTATACAAAGCATAGTCTAGGAAAGGACCATGGACAGTGCTCCACTTGTGGCAAAGAAGAGATGGGTCCTGGAAATAATAGTAAGGCATCCTTCCATTCCCAACGGCTATCCACATCATTAAGGATAGGTTTGGCAACAGCCCCCACTGCTTATGGTTCCGGCTGCCTTATTCACTTTATGCAGTCTCCCAGGGCTCTTTTAAGATGGAATGAATATCAGAAGTAGTAGGATGTGCCAGGTTAGAGAAAATCTACCTTTTTCTTCAGTCTGTTCCAACCTTCCCCCTCCAGTATATTTCCTATAGCCTAGCCTGGTATCCTTACAAAACGGGTCCTTTGGGAGGGTGACTGTTCTTTCCACATATTCCTTTTCCCTCCACACAAGTGCATCCTGCCCTGTTGTTACTGGAGTTGACATGTGACTTGCTTCAGCCAATGTAACAAAGACTGAGTGAAAGCTTTCACACAGTGTGAGCTCAGCATAGCCCTTGATCCTTAGTTCTCTGGCATTTGATGACACCCTTTGCTCAGGCACAGCCTGGACCTTGAAACTTGCGGGAAGCCTTGGAGTAGAAACTACTTTAACCTGGAGCCCCTCTAAGAGAAAGCAGACCACAGGGGAACCGTTTGTTTTCTGGTGAAGGAAATAGAAGCATACTAAGTTGGGGCTGGATCTAGCCCCTCCCAACTGCATCAAGGCTGAGTAAGGCCCCACCCTGGTTTGCCAGCCTGTGTTGACTACCCAGGGGAGACCTTACCCTCTATGTGGAGGGGATGGGGGTAGAATGGGAGTGGGGAGAGCTGGAGAAGAGGAGGGAGGGGGAGCAGGGGTTGGTATGTAAAAGGAAAGAAAATCTTTTAATAAAAAATTACATATATATTTAAAAAAGCAGACACATAAGCTAAATTGGGAGCAGCTCCCTTGGCAGTAGCTGACATCCCCCAGCCTTATGAGCTGCTTTGAAGAAAACCCTGGTACTAAAGGCCCATTTCACTTGCCCGTAACCCAAGCAGTTCCTATACAGGTTCAAAAGCAGGCTGTTGGGTTGCGAGTGCCCTCTAGGGGAGCAGGCACGGGTGTGACTACTGCTCTCCAGTGAGGACATGTCCAGGGACCAGGCAGAACAGGTGGGTGCTGGTCCCTCTATGTTTCAGTCCACCTCTATAGCTAAGCTTTCCTTCTGAGATCCTGAAAGCCTGGGTCCATAATTAAGCATGAACTGGACTCCACCAGTGTGATTCCTACCACCATTCTTCCCATTTAAAAACACCCAACAAACACAGGGCCCCATATCAGAGAGCAGCGTAGCTGACTCTCCTAAGGGAAGAAGATTGACCGTAAGATATTGCTTCCTCTCTGCTTAATTACAGGACCATCACCCCCAAAACACTGTCCTTTTTCATCTGAAGACTAGGTGCTAACTATTCATAGTTGAATCAATTTGAAGAACCAGTCGAGGAACACAAGTCATATTTATATTTCTCCCATGGAAAAAAACAGATTTTAGCAAACACACACATCGGTTGGGTTCAAAGCACTCTCCTTGATGACCTTTATTATTGTAACTTTCCAAATAACTGCTTTTCAACTTTTGGAACCAAGTCATCTTTTGAGAGCAACTTCCTGTACTTGAATGCTATAAATAATCAAACCCAGGAAGGTCTAACAGATTACAGAAGGAAGGTAATGTTGCATATGAGCAAATGTTAACAGATGAAAATGTACCTAGTATTTGACTAATTCTTTTTAAGCTCTATAAATATAGTATGTCCCACTATTCGTGCTAAAGCAAAGCATCTATAAATTATTCATATGTATTCCCAATCCCAAGAAAATATTCCACAGTATATAGATGCTACCCACTCCGAGGCTGAGATGGGTTCTCAGCTCATGCAATCTAATTTTCCCGAGTGTCTCCCTAAGATCACTTGTAACACTTCTCTATCTGCCACTATAATTAATAGTTCTCTGATATTTCTTCCACTTCAGGTTTGGCAGCTGAAATTTCATTACTAGATAAGCCTGTTTTGATTTAGATACAAGCAAAGTAATTACTAAATTCATAATAAAGTGGTTATTTGGGGTCAAGATGATACATTCTCAGCCCATACTTGCTGAGTAGTTTATAATCACAGTAGGGGAGCTGATCAAATGCTGAATAGATTTTGTATGTGTCAGGTATTTTTGTAGCCACAAAACACCACAGGGATACTGCTTGATATTCTTGTAATTCCCCATTTAATACAAGGACAACCTGTAAACAAGTGCATTGGGCACAGATAAAGTGAAGAAGTGGCTTTGTTTCTCCCAGGGTTCTATTGCCTCCATTTCCTGGGAGTCGTCCTTCTGATCTGGCAAATAGATGTGGATGTCCTGTCTAAAGGGATCAGGTATATTGCCACACATCAACCCTGAAACTTAAACAATGGCTTTCTGAACTTATCTGCTCTTAATCAAATGGCATGCTGCAATAACTTAAGATAACATAATCATAAGTCATGGGAACATTATATATTTTAATCTATTTTTTATTCATCTATTTATTTTACATCCCAGCTATAGCCTCCCCCGTCCTCCCTTCCCAGTTCTTCTCTCCCATCCCCCCTCCAACCCTATTTGAATCTATTTTTAAAATCCATAGTATTTTTAAAATTAAGCATGAAGAGAGAGGTGGGTAGGTAATTAATAGCCACTGCAAAGCCCAGGATTGCTACCTTTGACCTGGAAAAGGAATCACTAAATGAGCAAGGATTTTCACAAAGAGCAAGAGCCAAGCATTTGTGCTTTTCCATCCAGGTCACTGCAAGGTGCTGGGGAGGAAGCGTGTGCTCAATTAAACGACGACGTGAAGAAAGGTGCTCCCTGTGGCATTCCTTTGCAGGTTTTGCTTTCTGTTTTTTGTTTGAGCTTTCTTTCTCCTCTGGTGTGGGGCGCACATGGGGAGGGAGAGTGATGGGTGAACTGGAATGGACCTCTAGGACAAAGGACTCAAACCCAAAAACAAACAACCATGAGACTGAAATCAAGGGATGAGACTTGTGTGGAAGGTTGAAGCCAGAGCAAATCTTGACAGCTCCCTTCCTGTGGGAGGCACCAAAGTAAACAGATTCTTAAGGGACCCTAAGCCAGCTGCTCTGTGGTGGTTCATTTCCCCCTAACCACACAAAAGGTCATTTTCTGCTTCATCATCTTTAGAAAACAGAAGTGGGCATGTCTTTCACATTGCTCATCTTTGAAAGTCCAGAACTACTTAATGTTGATTTGCATATAATAATTATTTACTTAATTAACAAGCACTCAGCTAGACTGTCCTTCAACCCTTGGATGCTGAAAATTATGTAAGCCCCCTTCAAAGAACAGCAACACTCCCTGGACAGGGCCCGCTGCTAACAGTGGGACAGACTGAGCCATTTTCCCACCTGGCTCTGCCTGGTCCAAGAGTGCCATGGAACTGAAACATCACAGATGTCTCTATCACTGAAAACCCAGGAAATGGTAAATGTAGGTTACCCACAAATCCAGTATCTTTAGTAAAATTCTTTTAAAATGCAGAAAAGCAGCATATTCCCCACAGAGCTTGGAGTTAACCTTAAAATAAAATAAAGCACAGTCTTTAGGAGGACAAATGCTTTATTTAATAGGCTAGCTGAAGCACATCAAAATTTAATGTCTCTGCCACATTAAGAACTTTCCCCTGTGGTTCAGGAACGACAGAATCCAAACCAGCCGACTCATCTATGAATAGAGAGAATCTTTGAAATGAATTTCACAGAGTATAACAAGCTCCAAGCCCTCATCTCCCTCTGGCCACAGAACACCTCAAGTGCCCAAAGGGGCACAGTGAGTGGATGGAGTAAGCCGATGAACTTCAAAACAAAATGCAGAGAGAAGTCCTTGGGGCCAGCCACCACCTACTCACCAGATGTCAGACTTGGCGTCATAGCCTTGGTGCTTCAGGGCCTCAGGACTCATGTAATAGGGAGTCCCAGTCAAAGTTGTAGCCAGCTCACATGATCCCATCAGCAGTCGAGAAACTCCAAAATCCCCTGGGAAATTGTGGTTAATTTATGTAAATAGTTTAAACAAACAAAAGCCATCACTGGAAATTAAGAACTAAAACTGATTTTACTTCACCATATATTTTACAGTGCCTCATGCTATTTTAAGAGAAAAGGAAGGTGACATTTTAAATTACATAATGGTGATCAATAGCTTTAAACATGCATGCTTTACAGGAAGAAGAAGACTGAACAAGGAAAGAGAATTATACAACCTCAGATTCCTTATTTCTAGAATTATAAAAAACTAGAGTAACCCACTATTAAGCTACTTGAAGAATGATAATAACTAACAGAAGGATTCTAGAAGGACTGAATGTGAAGACATGAAACTTCACCTGCAGGGAGAAGAATTTGATATTAATTTAGAACAAAGGGGAAATTCTAAAGACTTGAACTATTCATGAATATACGTATAAAAATTTGAATCCACTGACTTCTCTAGTTAGTCACAACCTGCATTCTTTTCCTCCATAAGAATTTCCTATGTGATTCTTAGACAACTGAGTAACTATTTGAATGGAGATATAGTTCCAAAGAATTAAATATTAATAAAGCCATTATAGCAGCATTTAAATTATGTATGGTCACTGTTCACTGATTGTACTAAAGTAAGTGAGTGGGGGATGGAGACGGCTCAACAGTTAAGAGCACTCATTGGCTGCTCTTCCAGAGGACCCAGGTTCAATCCACAGCACCCACAGTTCACAACTAAGCTGCAACTATAGTTCCCGGGGATCCAATGCTCTCTTCTGGCCTCAGTGGGTACTGTATACATACTGCACAACATATATGCAGGCATAATGCCCATACACATAAAAAAATCATAAAACGTTTAAGTAAATGAGGAACCCCCAGCAATTAATGAAGCCAGCAAAACAAGTCAACTGCTTACAAAGTGCCTGATAAAGAGCAGGATTGCAAAGCATGCCTTTTAAATCAACCAGCCATGTAGCAAGTGTTTTATACTTCAGTTTAGGTCAGATAATCACAAACAAAATAACTGGGATTTATTGGTCTCATCCAGGTAAGAACAAATATTTGCAAAGGTTAAAGAAGCCAGGGCTGGATGACTTCAGCACTAGCTTAAACTATGCACTTCAGCTTGCTGTGTCTGCATCTAGGATAAGCTTGCTTGTAGCTTTAGAGCAGGCATTTGAAACATCTTACCGATTTTAAGTTGATTATTTTTCAGAAATATATTCTTTGATTTCAAGTCGCGATGGAGTATCCTCCTATGAGGGGGGTGGAGGGAGATGATAAAACCTCATGTAAAATAGGAAATTAAACCAGATCCGCAATTAAGGGTGTAGTTGTGTATGGGGAGTAAACATGCCCTTCCACAGATCCAGCTTCCATTGCTTAAAGGCTGCAAAACCAAGAACAGTTCTCATTTCTCCAAGGGAAGACGACTTCGCAAACGGGAGGTTTGAGAGGGGAAGAGACATGCAGTCTTGCTTTATACAAGTGTTTCAAAGGGTCAGATTGTGTTGTGGGTTTTGTTTGGTTGGTTTTGCTTCATGGTTGTTGGGATAAGGTTGAGGTAAGGTCTCATAGCTGAGGTTGGTCCAGAACTCTGTGTAGGCCTGGCTGTCTACTGTTTTTGTAGTGCAATATACGTCATACCTCATCCAGTAACCATACCCTCGGTTGATGGGCAAGTTATCACAAAATTTTATAATGTATTATTACCAAACTGTTCACATGTTGTGAAAGCAATAATATTGACAATGATATTGGTAAATACTTATTGAGTCTTGCTATAAGCCAGCAGTGTGGAATATGTCCATTGAGATTTCTATTTCTGAATTTAAGAGAACCAGATAACATGAAAATCTTTTCCTATAGAGGCCCCCAAATGCTAAACAAAGTTTACAAATAGGCACTCATGAGCTGAGCTCATGATGCAGTCAATCTCCTGGGGACTTTATATGAAAAGAAACTGAAAATCAGAGTGGACAGTAGGTGTTGACCCCTAGGCAGCCTTTGAGGATTTAGTGGTCTCAGAAAGCTGTGGGCTGGCTATAATGGTCAGAGTAGAAGACATAAAGTCTGTGTAATGGGTCAGATGGTGCTAGTACACATCCATAAATGCAGAAACACACACACACACACACACACACACACACACACACACACACACACACACCAGACAGTGGCTAGGTGACCTAAGAAGCACGCCTGTGTGTGTTCAGAAAGAAAGCTCATAATCTGAGTGAGGGACAGCAGTCACTCAAACTAGAGATTCAGATATGCACCAGCTGGGTGGTCACAGAAACTGAATGTTCAATTGTTAACATCCTCTCTGCTCATCTGGCAGAAGCAAATGTAGACTAAAGAATCAGCAGAAATATACAACGGTATCAGATGCCTGAGTTTTTCAGACAACCAAATAAGATACAGACTCTAAGTGCATTTTAAATGCTTAAAATCACAAAGGAAATAAGAGAAAATTTGAAGTAGAAACACCAAAGAGATGGTGTTGATGAAGGAAATTGCCAAACAGAACTTGTAAGGGAAAATGTGACCACTGAAATTAGAACCTGAGGATTAAATCCTATGTCTTGGCTTAACCCCACTGAACATATAACAATGTGTTCAATGGGGTTAAATCTAAGATCCACACCACACCTTCCATGATTAGCTGTATTCACAATTGCTAAAGCATGGAGGCAAATTAGATGTTCTTCAGTAAGTAAACGGTCAAGTCAACTGACACTCCTGGACAATGGGGTGTCATTCAGTGCTAACAAGAAATGAGCTATCAAGTCAGGAAAGCACCTGGTAGAAACTAAATACATATTTAACTAAATACATACTGCAAAGTGAAAGAAGCCAGTCTAAGAAGCCTACACAGCATATGATTCCAACACTGTGACACTAAGAAAAAGGCAAAATAATGAAGATGATAAAAACAGCAGTGGCTGTCAGAGGCTAAGGAGAAGGAAGACTGAGTTAATAGAGCCTAAAGGATTTGGGCGCCAAAACCTGCTTCCGTTTGATGCATTCACGCCATCATATGTCTTCTAGTCCCTATACAACATAAGAATGAGCCCTGTGTTAACTATGGACTTGGAGTGGTTTGAATAAAAATGGCCCCCATAGGCTCATATACTTGAATGCTTAGTCACCAGGGAGTGGAACTCTTTGTTAAGATTAGAAGGATTAGGAGGTATGGCCTTGTTGGAGGAAATGTGTTGCTGGGGTGGACTTTGAGGCTTCAAAAGCCCATCCCAGTCTCTCTCTCTCTCTCCTCCCCTCTCCCCTCTCCCCCCTCTCCCCTCTCTCCCCTCTCTCCTCTCCCCTCTCTCCTCCCTCCTCTCTCCCCCCCTCTCTCCTCCCTCCTCCCTCCTCTCTCCTCTCTCCCCTCTCTCTCTCCTCCTCTCTCCTCTCTCCTCTCCCCTCTCCCCTCTCTCTCTCCTCCTCTCTCCCCTCTCCCCTCTCCCCTCTCCCCTCTCCCCTCTCCCCTCTCCTCCCCTCTCCCCTCTCCCCTCTCCCCTCTCCCCCTCTCCTCTCTCCTCTCTCTCTCTCTCTCTCTCTCTCTCTCTCTCTCTCTCTCTCTCTCTCTCTCTCTCTCTCTCTCTCTGCTTATAGGTCAGGATATAGCTGTAAGTTACCTCTCCAGCACCATGCCTGCCTGCTGCCATGCTCTCTACAATGATGATAATGGACTAAGCTTCTCAACTGTAAGCAAGCCCACAATTAAATGTCTTCTTTTATAAGAGTTGCCTTAGTCATGGTGTCTCTTCACAGCAACAGAACAATGACTAAGACAAGTGGTAATGGCATGCAGGCTCATTGGCTGTAGTAAATGTACCACTCTAGCAGGGAATGCAGAAAACTGTTAATGTATGGTATGGGCACAGGCAGATGAGAAACCCTAAGAGACAAAATCAAACTAGAAGCTGGATCCAGCTACTCTGGGAAGTTGAGACAGGAGGACCGTGAGCTAGAGGGTGGCCTACACAACATTGCAAGATCTCATCTCAGCAAATAAAAAGATAAATGAAGAAAGGGAGTATAGGAAGGTGTGAAAAAGAAGAGGTGAGAAGATGAAAGTGGAGGGGAGGGGAGGGGAGGGGAGAGGCTAGGAAGGGGGAGAACAGGAACAGGGTAAATTTAAGAAAAAGGTAGGGAGGTGTGCTTTGTTTAAATTGTCAGTCAACTTGACAAAAATCTAGAATCTACCAGGGAAGGGAGTCTCAAAGGGGAACTGTCCAGATTAGGTTGACCTGTGGGCATGCCTGTGAGGGGTTTTCCTAACTGGCTTAAATGGGGAAGAAGACCCAGCCAGACTTTGGGTGACATCATTTCAAAGACTAGCCCTTGAATGAATAACAAGGATAGAGTGGTCTGAGCGTGACATGAACGAATTATTTGTTTTTGTTATGGATGTAACTGGCCAGCTCCCTTAAGCTCTGCTACTCTGACTTCCTGTGATGACGAACTGTGCCCCAGGACTATGAGATGAAGCAAACAGTTTCTCCCCTAAGTTGCTTTTGTTGGGGTATTTTGTTATAGCAACAGAAACCAAACCAACGAGGTGAGGTAGAGAGGGTTACGCACTAGGAATTGACCCTCCAGGACATTAAAATCCATCTTTAACCTAGCTCAGTCCTTGACTAGAGCAAGGTGATCTGCCTCTGATGTAACCACCAGCTGTAGAGGAGATAACATCACCCAGTATCTCTTAATAACTCACCTATATTCTTCAGTTACTCAAAACTTCCAGGAATACCAGGTGACGAGATCAACTGGCCAAAAGCAAAATCAATGAACAAAAGCAAAGAGCTCCAAAAGGAAATCCATGAATGATTGACCTGTTGAAATTACTGGATTAGTGTGCAAAAGGTAGAACATTGGAAAACCAAGTTTGGCACTGCACTGGAAAACGAGCTAGGAATATTTTTTCCCTTTGAAACATTTTGTAACACCAATAAGACACAAGGGAAGTTGCTAGAAGCTGCTTTACAACTATTTCCTCCAAACTTAAACATTCCTTCCTAACGGAAGGAAGGTGGTCACAGACTCAGGAAGCTAACAGACCTATAGGAAAGAGAGAAGACTCTCTGCCCCAAGGTCACACAATGTGGTGTGCACATGCCAGAAAGACTCCTTCAGGGGAGCTGTCTGCAAGCTGTGTAGCAAGCTGCAGGGATACAGCCTTTGTGAGTCGACGTGCACATTGAGTGGGCTTTAGGACGATGCAGCTGTCTTTCAGTCACCCATGATGTGACGTTAGGATAAGTAAAGCATACATAAGAAAGTTGTCTGGTAACAACTGGACAAGCAGAAGATGTGTGACAAATAGGAATATGTTACTATCCCTCACATACAAAGACATGAAAATATGTAGATTAGCATTATGCATTTCAAGACCAAGGTGCAGACTATGCTAGAACACCAATTTTAAAACACAATAGACTGTCTCTGTGATGGAGTAAGAAGTTTTATGTAACAGGCCAGCTGTAAAGCTATTGGGGAACTGTAAAATTGTGATTTACTGACTTTGTAGTTACAGTAAGTAAAATGCATCCTGCAATAAAAAGTCTTACCATATACTGGGCTAACAGCAATCCCTTTAAAATATATTTTTAAAATCCAGGAAATAACAAGGTGACAAACAGTTCAGACTGTTTAAATTTTTCTCTAGAAATCCCAAAGTATCTCTAACAGTTCCCCATCCACTACCCCACCCCTTATCTACGGAAGTGAAACCCTCCACTCCTTTCTGGTCAATGGCCCCCAAGTGCTGTGTAAAGATTCAGGAACTGCTTGTTTGTGGTCAAATTCATCTTAGGACTCCCACCTCCATCTCCCCATCATACTATTCTTCCCCAGCCTCCGAGTCTTTTCCTGGGGTGAAGAGTAGCCTACAGAGGCAGAGCCCCAGCATAAGGCAGACTTAGGGAAAAGGTACAGAGGACTTAGTCTCCATCTCCCTAGACCCTATGTAAATAGTGTTGGACACCTTAGCTCCCTCCCCTGCAGGTCTATCTCCACCTGGCAGGCTCTCACAGTGGCCTGCAAACTCTCCTTCCCAGAGGCCCCACCTGCCATCCAACCAAGGACTCTTTGATGATGCTCAGCCTGGGAAGCCCCTGTTCTTTTCTCTGCCATGTGACCCCATCCTGAGGTCAAAGGCACCTGCTTGACTTTCCTCATCTGTGACTTGATGATGAGCCTCTGTGTTGGAGCCAGGAGATGGAGATTAGGTCCTTCTAAAACTTCCTGG